CATCATCTTCTTCATCACCATCCTCATTATCATCATCATCTTCATCATCACCATCCTCATTATCATCATCATCATCATCACCATCCTCATTATCATCATCATCATCTTCATCATCACCATCCTCATTATCATCATCACCATCCTCATTATCATCACCATCCTCATCATCTTCATCATCATCATCATCATCACCATCCTTATTATCATCATTATCACCATCATCTTCATCATTACCATCCTCATTATCATCATCATCTTCATCATCACCATCATCTTCATCATCACCATCCTCATTATCATCATCATCATCTTCATCATAATCATCCTCATTATCTTCATCATCATCATCTTCATCATCATCATCATTTTCATCATCACCATCCTTATTATCATCATCTTCATCACCATCCTCATTATCATCATCTTCATCATCACCATCATCTTCATCATCACCATCCTCATTATCATCATCATCACCATCATCTTCATCATAACCATCCTCATTATCATCATCATCTTCATCATCACCATCATCTTCATCATCACCATCATCTTCATCACCATCCTCATTATCATCATCTTCATCATCACCATCCTCATTATCTTCATCATCATCATCTTCATCATCATCATCATTTTCATCATCACCATCCTTATTATCATCATCATCTTCATCATCACCATCATCTTCATCATCACCATCATTATCATCTTCATCATCATCATCATTTTCATCATCACCATCCTCATTATCATCATCTTCATCATCATCATCATTTTCATCATCACCATCCTTATTATCATCATCATCATCATCATCACCATCATCATTCTCATCATCTTCATCACCATCCTCATCATCTTTAGGATCATCATCACCACCATCTTCATCATCACCATCATCACGATCATCCTCATCCTCATGATCTTCATCCTCAGGTGTGTCATTAATCCAGCCTGGTCTCATGAGGAAGTGTAAGTATTTAGGAAGTCGTATGAGTTCAGTCGTACGAAATTGTACGATTTTAAAAAGAAGGCGTGGCATCTAACCCCTCCCCTAAACCCAACCATCATTGGGGGTTGAGCAAATCGTACTGAACTGAATGAATCAGCCACTGAATCAAAAAGTTCTGAATTAGCGTGAGAGTGTGTGTCATTAACCCGCTCTGCAGACTGCTGTCCGGCTGGATCCATATGAGCAGCAGCTCTGCCGTTACTAACGGCTCTTCAGCAGAACAGTGAGGCTGTCTGAGACGTCTCGACTTTAGTAAATAGTCAACATGTAAAACTGCTCAGCTGCTGCACCAGGATTTATAACAAACAACAAACAAGATTTGATGAGATTTACACACATTTCCCTCCCGCTCACACCTGTGATGAAGATTCTCCTCATCA